TTTCAATCTCTAACCTTGTTTTCTGTGACACGTGACAAAATGGGGCCCCTAACCCCAGGCATACACAGTGACAACAGCGATTCAATCTCCAACCCTGTTTTCAATCTCCAACCCTGTTTTCTGTGACACGTGACAAAACGGGGGCCCTAACCCTAACCCTAACCCTATCCGCCTATACCAGCGTCATCAGTCGGTTTCGCTTCTCCTATCTGAGCACCAGGCGAATCCAACTTAGCGTTAGAATCGTCGTCGACATGGCCATGGTCTACGTTGTCGGCATTTGCCCAGCCTATGTCACCACTCCCAGTAGACCCTTCGCTGCTGCTGGGGTAGTTTCTATCGTCTACAACAAATTCGCAGTTCATCATAAACCGATCCCGCAAAGTGTCTTCGTCCTCGTCGTTCGGACCTCGCCTTGCAAGCTCTGCGTTTCGGACAACTTCGTCCAAGTTGGTGCCGGACGATACGACGCTACGACGTACATCGGATGAACCACCCGCCAAACCTGTGCGTCGCGAGTTAGTTGTAGATTGTTCCTTCTGTTGGACTTGGTTTCGGCAATACTTGGTACAAAGAGTTTTTAGAGGTGGGAGAGCGTTTTTACGTTTGCGCGAAATGCATCAACCTACTACTGTACTCTATCAAATGCTCAATCCGTTCTTTGCTGCAGGTGAATCGAGCTTTAATCGTCGGGACAGCGTCAGCTAGAGGGAAGTGTGTGTGTGTGTCTCGTGCGGTATAATTATGGCTCTTATATTTTTAATTTTGTCAATGTAAAACTCTCAATACATGTAACACACCTTCACTAGGAAGATAGACCATCTACTCGTGCCCCGACCAGTCGATGCGTGGTCGTGCCGCACATGCTGCGGTCCTGCTGTGCCCCCCTCCGCCCCCGTAGCGCTACGCCTGCCGTCGTGTCTCGCATTCTGATGTTGCCTTAACGACCTCGCGTCGCGCGCCTCGTGTCCGCAGAAAAAGTCCACCGTCCCTCTGAAGGGTGGGGACGTGCACGCCTTGGGTCGCGATTGTACATCGTTTATGTGACACAATAGACCCCCCTCTTCCATGCTTTGGGGGTCATACACCGGGTATGCGACACAGAACATACCATACACGTGTGCACAGCGCGTCGAATTTGATATATAACTGCGGCGCAATAGGCTCCGAAACCGCAACATAACGCCTTTTGTCATTGAAACCCTCCGATGGTTGAAGCTCTGATCTTGAACATAGATTTGCTGTTAGCCTGCCGTCACACACTCCCTACGCACGAGAGATCATGGCACGGCGTGCGAGCAGCGCCGGGGCGCCTCCCTTGAGGGACTACAGCATCCAGGAGGATTGGATCGCGCGTACGGGTGGAGGCGTCCTGTCTGCATCGGCCTTCTCCAGGTCGAAGCAGAAGGGAAAAAAGGGCAAAGGAAAGAAGAAAGCGTCGACGCCTCAACGCCATGATCAGCAGCAGCGTGATGAGATGAATGTGAGTTCGACTGACAACGGCCAAACATACTCTGCAGCGGCTCTCAGGGAGGCTGAGCGTTACCTGGGTCCTTTGGACGAGTTCGACGATGACATCCTGGGTCATCACAGTGAACGCCGCCGTCGTCGCCTGCGCCGAAAGCCCGCTGTCGGGAAGGCGGCTGCCGACAGCAAAATATTCCACGTGCGTTTTTCATGTAAATTTGATCAAATCGAGGGTTGTTTTAGAGGGGGTTGTTCTGGAGGGCTATCTCCTTGGCCCGCACGCCTACCTCTTCGTGTTTTGTACGGTTCTTGCCTCGATGGATGCTTCATGCGTAGATCTCGGGACGAATATATTGTCTATAGGGGTACATGTGCCGGACACGTCTACTGGATGATTGGGAAACTTGTTTAGGTACTGACAAAAAACCAACGGCAAGTTTTGTTTTTTTCGGTTTTTAAATGCGCACATAACCGTCTTGACCGTTGGCCCCTCGACCGTACGCAACCTCGCCCTGACCAACTTGGCCCAATTACCACATAGGGCGAGGTAGCGTGCCGCGCGGTGTAGCCGACTAAATTCCCTGCGGTACGTTGGTGGAGGTCGACCCCCTTCCCCCCATATATGTAGACAATATCCGCGCCTCCTTGTGAAGACTTTTGTCGAGGTCGGACACTTGAACCCAACCCGAACCTCAAAAAGGGCAGAAATTCAGTTGACAAAGGTCTCCACAAGGGGGCGCGGGCATCCGACATTTTGGGGAAGGGGAGTCGAACTCCACCTGTGTAGCCTCATGTATCTGCGCTGTGTTTTGATCGTGTACACGGAGGGTCGTCGGTGTGTGTGCGCTACATACTTTACTCGTATGCATTACACTACCAATACCGTGACCAGTACCGTAGTGGGTGGCACGAGATACCGTGACCCCTACATCGCGGGGGGCTCAACAACAAATATTTTATTCATCTTGCTCTCTTTGCGTCGTGGTCCCTTGTCCGTCGTCCTTTGCAGGAGGAGGAGCCCAAGGAGGAAGAGCAAGAGGCGGATCTCTCGTCCGTCAGGAGCGCTAAGGCTGCCGAAACGGCTCCTGTGTCGGCATCTTCGCAGCCGTCGAGCCGCCGGCCATCACTGCCAGGATTTTCCAGTATGGACGACGGTGGCGGCGCCGCCAGCGGTGCCGCGGCCACGGCGTCGCCTGGCGTGACGGCGCCGCGTGCCTCCTCCACTCGAAGGGTGTCGGCGGAGTTCGGCGACATTTCTTCGTCCGCGCGCCCTGTCGCTGCCTCCAGCTTTGGAGGTGTCAGCCACGGCGACGGCACAGATTTCATGGTGTCGTCATCCATGAAGCGTGAAAACGCCATGGCTAGCGTCATGGGTGTTTTGGGCCCAGACGCGGCCCCACGCGTCTTCATATACCTCCTGCAAGAGCACATGGCGGAACATGTGAGTTGAATTTTTGTGTCCCTGTCAGAGAGAGTGTTGCAAAACACATACATACGCACGTCTCGTTATAATCTAAGCTTGTGCTGTTGTGTTTCTTGCGTAGATGCGGGTGCATTTTTTTGTGGTGTTGACTGAAATTTTGCCGCCGAAGTCCTCGAATCGTGAGTTTCCCACCATCCGGTCGGTCTATAATATAGACGCACCACCTTCCGTAGGTGGCACAATATGCCACAGCCCCTGGGCCGATTATAGAAAGCTAACCTCAGTCCAGGACCATGAACATGCAGAAATGAAACGCCAGGTTTTAGGAGAGCTCTCGACGAGATGGTTCATGCCGCCGTTTTGGTTGTGCCAGTTACTGTGAGGCAAATATCGATATTGTTCACAGCAGCAGGGGGTGCGGTATCTTGTGTCACCTACGGCGGTACATAAGGGGCTTGGCGTCGTGTGGAGGTGGAACCACAACTACTAACTTATATGTATCCTTGGTAACCCAGGATCGTCGTACATGCCGACTGGTGACACGAGTAGGAGTCTTGTGTACATTGATGTCTTGTTCTCGCCGTTCAGCCCGAGGATGATTGATGGTTGTGTTTGCACCTACAAGCGTGGTTTCAGCATTCCCATCGTCGCAGACTAAATAGCATAGAACCAACGACTTCTCTCTCACGCGTCGCTGGATTTTCCGCCCCCGATCTTGTGCTATACGGACGATATGCATCTCGCAGGTGCAGCTGGTTTTCGCCCCCATGTTCGGCGGCAGCGCGGAGACCGCGGCGACTCCTGCAGTTCACAGCGGCAGGCAGTCCGGAGGCGCAAACCGAGGTTTTACCGCCGGCATCTCCGTTGTCTGGAGTCACGCCATCATCGGCGACCAACAGCTGAACTTCTCGTTTGGGATGGGGAGGGCGGACCCTGCCACGAATCCGTGGTGCCGGATGTCCTACGGGTTCTGGGAGCCCGGTGGGATGAAGTGCGCGGCGTTCATGAGTGAGTGCTGTGCCTCTGTTTAGATATTTTGGTGTTCTTGTTGACGACTTGCAATGGCACAAGGATTATGGCTAGGCCATGACGTATACCGGCTGTGCTGTGATCGTAATATATTCTATTTCTCCCGTACTAAGACTGACGTGAAACACACTACATTTCGCCTCGATGTCGAACATGGACGTTGACGGGCTTTGGAAGCAAGGGCTTTAAGTGCGGTGGGGATAAGACCACCACGGCCTCAACACCATAACGGCTATTTATTATAGCTTCAGATGATTCCCTATTCGACCGATGTCGGGAAATTAAATATTTTCAAATTAATATTGCTGAACATGGGAAACACTGAGTCTTTCAGTGTACCTGGGGCCGGAGAACCATACAACGAAGTGTCTACACCTCAGTCGTCGGACAATCCCTATAAAAGGGAAATTGTCGCAGCCTTACTTTGCCAACAGAATGACCAGACTACTGCCTTTAATGATACACCAATTGAGGATGTAAAAAAAATGATCACAAATTTCCTGACTGATATATACGCCGTGGGACCCCGCACGAATATTTTGTGGAGAACCTGGGATATTGAGGACGCGTACATTGTTCTGTCGAGAGACACACACATGCAAAACGAGGAAAGCAATGTGTTTGACGTAGCTGTGTCTATGCACTGCAGTTTTCAGTACGCCGACATTTCATCCACAGATTTCGAGACCATGTGTCGCCTTCTGAAACCAAGGACTTCTACTAGTTCCACGTAGTTATGAATCAATGCAAAGAATAATCAAAAGCAAGGAAGAGCAGGGGCACCCGGAACTTTTGTGTGGTGAAAATACCGGTTTAGTGCCTATTTTCTCCGAAAAATCCAGTAACACCAATTCTCTCCATGGATGTAGACCATTTAGATCGCTGGCGAACGATGGACTCACGGTCTTTCAGAAATTTTAAATCCTTATCGTTTGTGAAGGTAGCGGCAACCATCTTTCACAGATATCCCTACACCTGTGAGACATACTGTGCTGTAGTCTACTGCTGCGAGAGATACACACACCTGTGTAACATACGGGCTACTTCCTCGCTTGCGCTCGGGAAAAACACACATACAAATCGAACGCAAAAACCCCGAGGTCAATCGGAATGAGTTTCCCCGTGTCAGATGGGGGTATGAAGACAAAGATGACCTTCTCTGGTAATGGACAGTCGACATTCGTTCCCAGAGCTTCCGTACAGGTAGTGACCACGCCTACGGCGACAATCCTAGACACCACAACCATAACTTAATCTCGACGGATCTACAACCGACATTTTCGGGCTGAGATACGGGCCTGAACGTGGTACGCGCGACGGGGGGGGGCTCTAATTTCAAGAGATTTACTGCCGGCAGCCCCGGAAAACACCCCCATACAAACGATTCCATGTTATTTGACCAGTAGGTAAGTGCGAAACGCAAATAATTTTTGTTTTGGATTGATGGGGTAGGGTGTATGCGGGAACGAGCTAATGAACACCACCCCGTGTTATCCAACGTACGATACGAGGGGAGAGGGAGAACAGCAAAATGGCAATCAAATGCCGCCAAAGGATCGGATCGACCCAAGTGTTTTTCAACACTGCTGTACGGGTCACGTGCATGCGCCTGCAAATTTTGGTGAGTACACTTGCATGTGGCGATTTGTTACGTACACGAACATTTAGACTTTGGACGGTAAAACTGCTGTACACCTTGTTTCGAGCTTAAAAAAAATTAGCTGGTGTGACGCACACACGTTCGGCGCGAACACGTCTGAATACGCGAAAACACGTCTACACGCACAGACACCCGTAAACAAAACTTTGTTTCGCACACAGTCTCCCGCGCACCCTGGTGACCAATCCCGATGCTTCACTGCTCGGCGATCGTGTGACACTGCGCAGGCGACCCGAGAAAACCCGCGCCAAGCCTATTGCGCCGCATTTCAAGAGAGTTCCACAATCCCCTGATTCCCAAGTAAGGCGTTTTTTCGACAGCTGGCGTCAGCTGCCGCCGCACCGGCCCCTAATCATCACGCTCTCTCTCTCCCCTCCTCTCCCCGTTCTCTCACCCTCCTTCCGCCCAGCGGAAGATAGAGAACGCGACACCAGCGGGCTGCGCCAGCACTAGCATTGGCGGCAGCATTCGAGAAGCTGTCATCGGCGCTACGGCACACAGCGGTATGTGTGTTGTTCTGTTTTTTTTGTTGCTTGAGCGCGCGAAGCAATATCTGGTTGCGATGGGAGCTTAAAACAAATGCGCATTTCGTTGTAGATCCTGACGTCGACGGTCCTCTCTCAGCGTCTGTCACCACAGACGCCGTCTCTGTATACTGACAAGCGTCCCGAGACACCCGATTCATGGTGAATCAGCTTTGCTACCCTTATTGTGTCGTGGAGCCATCCATCCAACTGAGGGATCCTGTGGCGCTGATCACGCATTTCAACTCGACTTTAATTTTTTCTGTTGGCAAACTCAGAATTTCAACAGATCCGTTGCCAGCAGTTTTTGGCCGCCCCGCTGATTGCCCAACCCGCACGACCGAAAGATAATACTTTGTTGTGTCGCGAGACTCGCGGGTACTTTGCACAGCGGTCCTCTCTCAGCGTCTGTCACACATACGCCAGTTCTGTATAAACAGACAGTTAGCCCTGCGCCTGACCCTGTTTTTGGGCCAATTTTCTGTCCAGCCGATGTTCTTTCAAACAGCCCATTCTTCTGAAATTTTTGTTTCGTGGCCAATCAATCCCCACATTTTTACATTTTGGCGGCCACGTCAGTTCAACAGGTGAAAAGACAGACCAATCGGCTTTGGTGTGTCTTGTTTTTTTTCGAGTTGACGACGAAATGGGATTTCTGCAGCCGTCCCCGTTCCCACCCGGCTGTGGGGCCGCAAGGACATTGCGTAGAGAACAGAACAGTCACCGCTACTCATGCCACAAGAACGGTCGTAATAGCTGCAGTAGCACCGGCGGTAGAGCCGTTGCGCGCTGGCACAAATTTCAGAGATGAGCGGATGAGCGGAAAAAAATACACCAGAGCGGGAAAAAATACACCAGATCAGCGAGAGCAGGTAGATCTGATTTTACAACATTACAGCAACTGAAGCCGCCGCCGCCCTTCCCGCCCCTCCAAGGGGTTGAAGAGACAGTGCGAGGAAAGAAGGGAAGCCGCTGCTACTCATAGTGCAACAACGGCAGGAAGAGCTGCAGTGTAGCGTCGGTGGTGGAGTCAAGCAATGTCGCCCAAAAGTCAGTTGAACGACGCGTCACACACGCACACGGAACAGGCAGCGATCTCACCCTACATCACTTCACACCCAAACGGGTACGCAACGACCACCCCCGTCACTGCCCGTCTGTGCAGACATTGCAAGGAAAGTAAAAAAGCCGCTGCTACTCGTGGTGCAGGGACGGTGGCAACAGCTGCAGTAGCGCCGGTGACAGTGCCGTTGCGCCAGTGCAAACTTTGGAGATGATGAGCGGAAAAACAAACACCGACCAAAAAGAAGGGCAGGTGGACTGATTTTTACACCATGGTACAAAAAGGAGCTGAGGCCGCCGCTGCCCTACCCGCCCCTTCAAGGGGTTGAAAAGACACCGGTACGAAAGCAGGGAAACCACTGCTACTAATGGCAAAGCAGCGGCAGGAAGAGCTGCAGAGCAGCGCCGGTGGTGGATCAAGCAATGTTGCCCAAAAGTCAGTTCATGAGCAAAAAAAACGCACGAAAAAATCAATCCCACACATCAATGTGAGCTTTTTCCAACGTCGCGCCTGCTTCGCCCCCGTTCCCAAATCCCAGACAGACCACCCCCTCGCACCCTCCCCCCTAGCATTGCTCCCTCCAGAGCTCGCTTCCTAGATGATCGCCCCGCAGGCGGCAGTGGACCTCCGCGCCCTTGATCCGCCCGTCAACACATAATCGGCTGGTTGTGTGGTCACCACATTTTTTTTTTGCTTGATAGGCGGGGACTTTTTCTGGACTTTTGGACCCGTGCGTCACCCCAAAGCTACCCCATTTTAGGATTGGTACTGAGAGACGTCCGTAGAGCGGATTCTGGAGCGGTTTCTTGTATCACCTCCGTGAGAACGGTAGCTATGTTTTTGTCGGTGGCGATTTGCGATAAAGCTTCACACCCTTGCGGCCGCTGTGAATTTGGCCGAAAAATACTTGATTTTTAAGGGTTTGATGGGATAGAACCCGCCGATTGAAAAACTGACAGACAAAAACACGCATATGTCCTGTTTACAGGCGTGTACTAAACCGCAAGAGCCAGTTCGTTTGTGTCATCGAGTATTCCACGTTCTCCTCTCGCTGTTTAATATCAAGTCAAAACAAGGTTTGGCGTCGTCAACCGGACGAGCGGAAGAACTTGATTTTTTTCAGAGAAAGCCGAATAGCCTTGCCACGCGCATACAACATTTTGGGGGGTCAGGCGCAGGGCTAACAGTTCCCGTCCCCTCTCACGTCTTCCATCTCTAGTCTCTCCGGCCACGCCTATTGTGATTCATAGGGAGTTCGGCGCGAAATTTGAATCCTCCTCTGTGAGGCAGCATTTCTCATAATACGGAGTAACATTGATAGGTGTCCTGCAATGTAACACGCGTTGGTGCTTGGATCCTCCTCCATCTTGTTCCTCCATTTCATATCGATACTAGCCCCGCCTTGTTCCCTCCTCGAAAGTTCACTTCTGCTGCAATGTCTATGTTAAAATAAGTGGAACAAGGGCGGACACACGACAATTCTCTCCTTCTTGCAATCTCTTGGGGCAGACAACCACCATGCCGCTCTGCTTGTGTGTACCACAGAACACCGCCGGGCTGCCTTTCACACGAAGGAGGGTGTGCAGGCAGCCCGACGGCGTTCTGTGGGACACACAAGCAGAGCGGCATGGTAAATGTCTGCTCCAAGCATTGCGGCCGTAGCGGCGGCTCCACACGCCGTCCGTTGGTGTAGAAAACAGTTTCAATCTTGCACTTTCCTTTTTTCGCCTTGTGAACCGCCTACCATCGATCGGGCAACGTTTTTCTCCTGAAGGAGCCTGTGAAAGGTTGTTGATCGCTTGCCTGTGAAATCTTGTTGATCGCTTGGACCCCCCCCCATACTAGTGCACTACCCGACCTTTCCCCCCTCTCTTCCCCCCCCCGCCCCTCCCAGTCTGTAATTGCCTGGAATTCTCCCAGTTTATCTTGTTCCCCCGTTTGATGTGTGACCTAATCTCTTTCAGCGGCGTTAATAAGGTAACTTACCACAATCCCCATGACCAAAAAAATCAAATACGCCAATCCGTCTTCCACGTCTAACGACCCATCTGGCCCAACTGCCGCCATCCCCAAGGTTCTCCTCCTCACCCTGCTTTGGTACAACAGCCGAGCAATGTCTGCGTCAATACGTTCCAAACGTCTGGCGCTACTTCCATCGGGATCGAATCCATGATCGACTAGCCAAGCAGGGTCACGTCGCATACTTCTTAGCGCTCGCATATGCCCATCCTCCATCGCGTTCAAGAAATTCTGCCGTGGTCGCGCTCGCTCCCACATTTGGTCCATCTGCTCCACAAGTCGCCGCTTTTGTGTTTCAAAAACGGCCAGTGAATTCCGCAGTGTTCGTGAAGGAAAAGGAAGTAAAGCTGTTTCTAGGTGGTCGGTGGCTTTCTCCTCGACTCGAAGAGCCTCCATCGTTGTGGTGGCCCTTCAAGTAGGACACGTGCCTGTAGCTTCGATTGCTTCTCTGAAACACTTCTTGTGCAACGCTTGTCACCTACCACAGCAACTAGGATATAACACTGACCTTCGATCTTCTCTGTCATTAAGTTCATGGAAACATATAACGCACGTTGAGTGCGTCAGCTCTTCGTGTACCATAGTAGCCAGTCGGTCGGCCAAAGTACCCCATGGGGTGTTTTCCGTCAAACCGGCCACTTCGGACCGGAGTTTCCTGTTGACGTAATACACCAACGGTGCGTACATTTCCCTCAGCTCGTTGTCGAGACGGTCGCCCAAATTGATGTTCGAGAGAGATAAAATTGCGATCTTCAGAAGCTCTATTTCGGGGTCAGAAATATTGGCCGGTACGCTCAGAACGGGCGGGGAATTGGCCGGTACGCAAAGGTTACCACCGCCAGGTTTTGAGCTTGGTAGGAGTATGCAAAGATCATCTCGAGTACACTCAGCTCCGCCGCCCGTGCTGAAGCAATTTTTGATCGACATTGTACGGTGTTGCTACTGAAGAACAGCAATTTAAATTTGTTTTACACCAGCTTAAGTAACATGTGTGAAGACTGAATATGACAACGCTCTCTCGAAGGCTGCGTTGAAGAACTTGAAAAGGGAAGATGTATCTAGCTTTCGTCGTCTCTGCATCCATTATCCGTCGCAGTATTAAATGCATCGTTTTTGTAATTGGCAGTGCATAGACACAGCTACCTCGAACACATTGCTTTCCTCGTTTTGCATGTGTGTGTCTCTCGACAGAATAATGTCCGCGAGTTTACGTAAAATTGTGTCTGCTCATCGTCCGTGGAATCCCCGGTTTCAGCAGGAAGGGATTCGGACCATTCGTGTGGTGTTTGGAAGCAATCCCTGGTTTTATTCGGCACAACCCTTACTTATCGACCGATTCTCCTTGGTCACCGCGTGAAAGCCGGAATACCCCCCCCGGAAACCCGAAATTTTGGACCAAAATAGGCGCTTTTTTGGCGTTGTCAGGCGATTTTAGCCCGATTTAATCTTGTTCATCGCTTGGACCCCTCCTTGAAGTGCACTATTTACTATGCTCTAGATGTAAGTGACCACCTTCGCGATACGCATATCTGAACTATCAGCGGTCATGAGGAAGCCCAGCACTTCTAGATTCCTCGACACCGGGAACGCGATAAAATGGAGAGCAGTCATTTTACACTTGTGACTTTTTTCTCCTTGTTCCCCCCTTTGATGTGAAAAAAATATTCCAATACGGGCATATCATTCAGGAATATTGCCGATATTGGACACATTTTTTCAAGGGGGTTACGTCCCCCCCCGAGGTGTATCCCCGTTATACCCACTTATGTAGGGGTTTTCGCCTTTCTGTTTTTTTTGTTGACGTAACTTCAGCTGGTATTCCCACCCGATTTCCCTTTAGTGTCGCTTATACCCCTACTTGAAGTGCGGCTACGCCGCCCCCGCTGAAGCAATTTTTGATCGACATTTTACGGTGTTGCCACTGAAGAACAACAATTTAAATTTATTTTACACTATCTTGAGTATGATAATTGCCCCTGTGTCAGCTGTTTGACTCGGGCGGTGTCCACGCAAAGGCCTTATTTCAGGTGTTTTAGCTGTCGTTTCGTACCCGTTGCTGCGGTAACACCCCGTTGCGGCAAGGTGTACGTTCTGATGACCATTCCCAACTTTTGTTTTTTCTAATTTGTGTCTTGTTTTTAAACCTAAAGAATCTCGGGGCAATGCAAAACACACTCAAAAAGCTTGAGATGGCGCGACTCGATGCCGGATGCTCTGCTCTTCACGTAGCATCGGAGGACGGTCAAACTGAGGACGTGGTTAAGCTATTGGTGTCCAGCTAGGGAAAAAACACGGATGATTTCCAGGGTGGGGGGGAAACAGCACTGATGCTTGCAGCCCGCGAAGGCCGCTCGGATGTCGTCCTCGAGCTTTTGAACCATGGCGCGGACGTCAACAAAAAAGCGGCAAGTGTAAAAGACCGCTCTCCATTTTGCCGCAATGTGTGGGCATAACAAGGTAGTCGTTATTCTCGTGCTGAGGGAAGTGGACATCGAGGCTCGTGACGGCGACATTTTCTTCGGGTCGAAAACCGCGCTGCAACTGTCAGCCGAAGGTGGCCACCTGCGCGTAGTCAACACTCTGGTCATCAGAGGCGCCCTTGCGGAACCTGAAACTTTCGGACGCCTCCGTTTTAGCGTGGAGGAAGGATTCCGTGCAGCGTTCGACACTCTCTTTGAAGGGAATCGTGAGGGAAAGTATGAGCTTCCTGGAGGTTTTCTACAATGCGCCCTGATCTTGGCAGCAGAATACGGCGATCTCCCTGTCGTCGAGGCCTTGTCCATCAAGGGTGTCAATCTCGACGGCACGGCAGAATTCTGGGACCCTGGCAATAATGGTTGGTTTTGTGAACCGGCGACTGCTCTACACGCTGCTGCATACGGAGGCCACTACGATGTTGTTAACTATCTCCTGGAGAATAGGGTTCGTATCGAAACAGTGGATGGAGAGTTATCTACACCCTTGTCTTATTCCGTGATGGAAAAACCACCTGCGTGTGACGGCTACCCTCCTGAAAGCCGGGGCCGACACAGCAAAAGACGACAATCGGAGCTCAATACTTGGGACAGCCTGTAACAGTGGAAATCTGGAAATTGTGCTTCTTCTCCTCCGCTCCGGTGCAGACGTTAACGCTAGCGTCCAAGGCTCGTCCGCCCTGCATGAGGTGATGGGGGCAAGTCACAACCTTGAAGCATTGACGGATCTACTTTTACGGTGGAACGCCGATGAAAAAATGGTGGACGGCGAAAGGA